TTTGGTTTTTGAGACAGGGTTTCTCTGTGTAGCTTTGGAGCCTATCCTGGCACTCACTCTGGAGACCAGGTTGGCCTTGACCCCACAGAGATCCGCCTGCCTCTGCCTCCCAAGTGCTGGGATTAAAAGCGTGAGCCACCAACGCCCAGCTAGCTCTTATAACTTAAATTAACCCATTTATATTAACCTACATTCTGCTATGTAGCTTATTACCTCTCCTCAGTACTAGACGTCTGACTTCCTCTATGTCTGGCTGGTGAATCTCCTCTCCTCTGATTCTTTTTCACGAGTTCCTATCTCTCCCTGGAAGTCCTGCCTATCTTCTCCTGCCTAGCTACTGGTCATTCAGCTCTTTATTAAACCAATCAGAAGGTGCCTTAGGAGGTGATTCATGACAGAGACATATCTTCTTCACACAACGAACAAAAGATTATCCCAATACAGGTCCTCCAAGCCAACTCTTTAACCAGGTCCTAGTTTAAAAGCCAAGATGGTGGCAGTACAGGGCATGGGGCTGATTCTTGCAGAGTTACCAGTGTTGTCAGACAGATGGATGTAGAAGACAGTTTGGGCAGAGATAGCTGTCTGAATGGACACTTCAGGCAGGACATGGCTTTGCCATAGAGCTCATCTCATCTTCTCAACCAGGAGTTAGATGTGAATTTAAGAGGCTGTCTTGGGGTCAACAAGTGGTAGAGTGCTTGCCATAAAAGCCGCACATCTGAGTTCAGTCACTTGAAACGACATAAAGGTTTAGGGAGAGAACCAATCACATGAACATGGTCTCTTACTTTCTCTACATATATGCAATGGCATGCACATGCCTTCTTCCCACCAGTGTGAAGGAAGAGGAGAAGAAACGGCCACTGCCACTGATGGAAGCTTGTTGCAAGAGGAAGGGGTCAAGACTCCAGCTCCATCACCACAGGGAGGTACATAATAGGTGCTCAGTAAATAGCTGTCCAGGGGCTGGAAGGATATTGGGCTTGGGGAGATGGTGGTATGGGATGCTAAGTATCTACAGACATTTAACTGACTGTTTTGTAGATTAGAGATTGCAGACTTCATTGGCTGACTACAAGGGGTAGAAAAATATCCAGGAGAAGGAAGTTGATGTGTAAAACAATTTGTGGAGAGATTTGTGGAGTTGTTGTGTAAAACAATTTGTGCTAAAAGCGTTTGCTCTCACTATGGATTGGGTTCACCACCCCTACATGGCAGCTCAAAACCACCTGCAACTCCAGGTCCAGGGGATTCAGCATCCTCTTCTGTTCTCTGTGGGCAATAGACATAGGTGTAGGGTACATACATATACACACATGGCCAAAACAGTCATACATATAAAATAAAAATCTATCCTTTTTAAAAAAGAACAATTCCCTTTATTTATTTGTATTGCTACTGATGTTATGGTCATGAAAAGGAGATTTATTGGTGTGACCACATTGGGAAAAGGAACTGAGACACAATGACCACCCCCACCCCCAACATACACTTCCTGTCTATCTTCAGGATCCTGAAGTGAGGTTGAAGTTTATGTAGAGGGTCAAGTCTATACATGTCTAAGCAGTCCCCCAGTCATGTGAACTTGCCTATCATCATCTGGGCACTCTCCCCAGCAAGTGGTCCAACAAGTCTTCAGCACTATGTGAAACTGATTTTCCTGGAAGACCAAGTCCTCCTCTGACCAGTACCAGACATTACTTATCCTTTTTCTTTTCACAGCACAACATTCCTGGAACTTTTTTTCTGGATGGCAAGTTCCTTTTTTTACCTGGCATGAGGAGAGAAGCCATGGGTTTGGCTTTAGGTTTTCTTTCCCCAGCATGAGATATCTGGGACAATTCCATTTTATTGGAGTCCTCTATTTCAAGAGTCTGAAAGCCAAACTAAGAGACACAACATCTCTTCAAAAGACCTTCAGTATTGCCAAAGTGTCAAAGTTTGCCTAAGTTAAGTGGCAGCTTCCTAAAACTTAGAGGCACCAAGGAAAATTCCCATGTCTTCAGAATGCTAATTCTCTTGGAACTGGGAAGGGAGAATGGGAAGAAAACATCAACTGATTTCACTGTGACTGAGTGACAGCTGTGAAAGGAAGAACACAAGGAAGCAAGTGACTTCATGACAGACAGGTTTAATGTGAGAAAACCTGAGGAAGAGAGGCCTCTAAAGGGGGAAAACCAGACAGTTTGCTGACCACTTATAGACTAGGGAGAAAGTTGGAGAAGGGATTGGAGAATGGGAGTGTTCTATTGCTGCGATAAAACACCATGACCCAAAAGCAACTTGGGAAGGAAAGATTTTATTTCATCTTACACTTCCAGGTGACAACAGTCCGTCACTGAGAGAAATCAGGGCAGGAAGTCAAGGCAGGAACTGAAGTAGAGGCTATGGAGGAGTACTACTTACTGGCTTGCTCTGCATGACTTGCTCAGCCTGCTTTCCTACAGAACCTGGGACTATCAGCCTGGGGTGGCCCATCCACAATGGGCTGGGCCCTCCCCCATCAATCACTAATTAAGAAAATGCCCTACATGCTTGCCCACTGCTTGATCTTATGGAGACATTTTCTCGGTTGAGGTTCCTTTCTCTCAGATGACTCTATCTCTTGTCAAGTTTACATCAAACTATCCAGCACAGCAACTTATAATAGAAGAAATAGTTGATTTGGGACTTATAGTTCCAGAGCAGTAAGAACCCATCGATATCATGGTGGAGGAGCATGCATGATGGAGAAGTGGGCAGGCATGGTGGCAGGGAACCAGAGAGTTTGCATCTCAAGCTGCCAATACTGAGCAGAGAGAGCAAAGTAGAACTGTTGCAAAGCCTGCCTGCAGTGACATGTTTCCTCTAGCAAGTCCATACTTCCTAAACTTACTTAAACAGCACCAAGTGGGGACTAAGTATTTAAATGCACAAGACTATGGGGACATCTCTTTTAAACCACCATACATACCATGGTTAACAGTTATGATGCCATATGTAAGAGGGGCAATAGTCTAATGGTCTGGAATATGTGGCATTGGAACTGACATTAAGGGTTTATTGAGAGTCTTGCTATGTAGTCCAGGCTGGCTTCAGACTCATGCAACACCTTCATCAGCCCCCTGAGTGTTAGAAACTGTGTATGGCTTGGAGTTGGGACCTTGAGGTTGATGTTTGGGAAAGTGCAGGCAACAGGCAGAGTTCTAGGCAGAGGGAATGACTTGTGCCTCAGTCCAGAGGATGGAGAAAACACCACTAATTCAAGAGAAAAATTGAAGGTCCTTGGGATGGGTAAGGTGAAGTGCCCTTCAATCCAGACCAGAAGAGACTTAGAATCACACCACATATTACCTAATCGGTTATAATTTGGATTTGGAGTTGTGAGGAACTTTCAATTTACTCAGTACCTTTCCTGTATCTTAAAAAAAAAAAAAATCAGGACAGTCGTGGTGCACGCCTTTAATCCCAGCACTCGGGAGGCAGAGGCAAACAGATCTCTGTGAGTTTGAGGCCAGCTTGCTCTACAGAGTGAGTTCCAGGACAACTGGAGCTATATACAGAGAAACCCTGCCTTGAAACCTGCCTCTCCCCCTCAAAAAGAAGGGACATGAGGTAATTATAATCTCATTCATAAAATGGGAATAATGCTCCTTGTGAATCATCCAGGCGAGCATTGGTGTTGTTTTTTGGTTGGTTTTGGTTCTTTTTTTCCTTTCTTTTTCCTTTTTCTTTTCTTTTCTTTTTTTCTTTGAGACAGGGTTTTTCTGTGTAGCCCTGCTTGTCCTGGAACTAGATCGATCTGTAGACCAGACTGACTGGCCTCAAACTCACAGAGATCTACCTGCCTCTGATTCCCATGTGCTGGGATTAAAGGTGTATGCTACCATTGCCCAGCAATTTTGGTTTTTCAAGACAGTGTTTCTTTGTTTAGCCCTGGCTGTCCAGGAGCTCACTCTGTGGTCTGTGGTCCAGGCTGGCCTTGAATTTAAGAGATCCATCTGCCTCTGCCTCCTGAGTGCTGGAATTAAAGGCATGGGCCACCACTGCCTCACCATTGGGAATTTTTTTTGGGGGGGAGTTTAAGTATTATTTTTTTCTTGGGGATGGAGAGATGGCTCAGCAGTTAAGAGCACTGGTTGCTCTTCAGATGACCTGTGTTCAATTCCCTGCATCCACAGGGCAGCTTACAACTATCTAAGTTGGTTAAGTCTGGTTCCAGTGAATCTGTGAATCTGATACTGTCTTCTGGCCTCCACAGGTACCAGGCACATAAGTAGTGTACAGACATACACTCAGGCAAAACACTCATATACATAAAATAAAAGTAAGTAAGTCTTTATTAAATAGATTTATTTTTATTTCCTTCCCCCACCCCCTTCTTTCTTGACAGGATCCCTCTGGCTGGTTTGGAACTTGCTATGTGGGCCAGGATATCTTCAAACTGACAGAAAATTCGCCTACCTCTGCTTTCTGAACACTGGGATTAAAGGCATGTGCCATCATGCCAAGCAAGATTTATTTTTATGGTATGTCTAGTGTGCCTGCATGAGTTTATGTGCATCATAAGCGTGCAGGAACTGGAGTTACAGGTAGTTAGCTGTGAGCTGCCAGATGTGAGTGCTGGAAATAGTAAAGAGTGGTAAAATGAAGAGTAGTAAATGTTCTTAAAGCTGGCTCTCAAATTTTCAATGAGATATTATGCTTCAAGAATTTAGGAAATGCTCATCAGTGGAAGCCGAGTATTTGGTGAAACCGGCCGTTATACTGAGCGTGGAGGGCACGGGGTAAGTTGTTTTTTCTGAGCGGAGGGTGTCACTGAGAGCCTATGGAGATCAAGGCCCAAGTCTCTTTCCTGAGCTTGAGTGCTGAGAGACAACAGTAGCCTAATTACCAAACTACTGCTATTGAATTCCAACTCTATCACGCCCCTTCTTCGCCTCAGCACACCGCCCTTGCCCCGCCCTCGCCACCGAATCCCGCCCCTTACGTACAGCCCCGCCCCTCACCCCGGTGCAGAGTGTATTCCCTTGGCCTTCGCGGTCGGCTCAGCGCCTGCGCAGTTCTATGTTTCTTCGGCCGAGCTGTTGCCGCTGAGCAATGTGGAGTCGGCGGCAAGGCCGTCTCAGTACGCTGGCGTGCGGGGTGGAGGAGCTGCGGTGCCGCCGGCGGGAGCGGGAGGCAGGTGCGAACGGATGAGGGAATCGGAGGGAACGCGAATGTGGCGGTGGGGAGTAGGGGAGGAAGACCCCTGGCTCTGAGCCGAGTGTCTGCTGCCTCGCTTCCGCTCTGTAACTGAGACATCCCTCTGCCCCCAGCCCTGCGGAAGGCGCGGAGGGAGCAGCAGTTGGTCAGCAAGAGGCTGCTAAGGGAAGATGCTCCGGAAGAAGCCGGAGGTCAGAGTGCAGCCGTGCTCCTTGGGGAAGCCGAGGTGAGAGGGCAGGCAGGGCGACCCAAACCTGAATGCCAGCTACTGCTCACCATCAGCCATCCGCTGGATCAAGCCGGAAACAGAAATACCCTGTACAACTCAGTGTCCCTCATCCTTACATCAGTCCATAATCAAATCAAATATTTGCCTTTTAAAAACGTCTTAAAGAGCCGGGCGTTGGTGGCGCACGCCTTTAATCCCAGTACTCGGGAGGCAAAGGCAGGAGGATCTCTGTGAGTTCGAGGCCAGCCTGGTCTACAGAGCGAGTGCCAGGACAGGCTCCAAAGCTACACAGAGAAACCCTGTCTCGGAAAAAAAAAACCAAAAAATCAAAAACCTCTTAAAGAGAGAGGCGGGGCTGGAGAGATGGCTCAGAGGTTAAGAGCACTGACGGCTCTTCCAGAGGTCCTGAGTTCAATTCCCAGCAACCACATGGTGGCTCACAACCATCCATTATGAGATCTGGTGCCCTCTTCTGGTGTGCAGATATGCATGGAAGCATAATAAATAAATAAAATCTTTAAAAAAAAAAAAGAGAGAGAGAGAGAGGTTAGTGTCCTCTCCATCGTAGGTGTCTCTGCCATCTGGATACTACAGAATCTTTATAAAAGGGTCTCCATTTGTCATCCTGATTCGTTGTAGAAACACAGAAACCAAAATCCTTCAGTGACCTGCTAAACTACGAATAGCATAACCTCTTATTGATTTTAACAGTTACTCAATCCAACCACTGTCATTTTTCAGTTCCTGGAACATATACCAGCTGTCTCAGGGTCTTTACTTTTTCTACATCTGAAGTTTGTTTTGTTTTCTTAGTGTCACAAACTAGCAATTCTCCTGCCATAGCTCAGGTACTAAAATTAGTGGTATGCACCGCCATATCCATCTCCTCAAACTAGACTTAACTGGACCCTGTTACAAACTCTGGAGCAGTCTCTAGCCCTTTAGTAGAGTGCTTCAGGCCCTAGATCCAGACCTCTGGTGTGAAGGGATAGTGGGAACATGAGGCAGGTGTGGTGCTCTCACCTGTAATTCCAGCACTTAGGGAGCTGAGGCAGAAGGATCCTGAGTTTGAGGCCAATTTTTGGCTACATACCAAGACCCCATTTAAAAAAAATCCAGACACCTGCACAATATCCGGAATAAAGCTGTTCAATGCTTTTTTGTTATTGTTTGCTTGACAGGGTCTCTTGTATTCCAGGCTGTACTCAAACTCTTAAGTTGAGGATGACATTAAACCATGATCTTCTTGCCTCCACATCCTAAGTGCTGGGCTTGTAGTTGTTCACCACCACACTTGGTTTATTGGGTGCTGGGAATCTAATCCAGGAATTTGAGTGAGCTAGGCAAGCCTTTACCAGCTGTGCTGCATCCCTAGCACAGATTTACATTCAGCAGGCTTTGCTTATGTCTTGTTTTAGTAGTGCCTGTGTTTATATTTTACTTCTACAGAGCAGTTATTCTTAGGGTATGACACTTATTCATTGTATGCTTCCTTTATGCTGGGACATTGAGGATTGAGGCACACAGACTGACAAGATAGTTTGAAGTGTTCAGAGACAGGGCTAGACAGATGTCTCAGTGGTTAAGAAAACTGGCTGTCCTTGCAGAGGAGCCAGGTTTGATTCCCAGCACCCTCATAATGGCTCACAGCTGCTTGTAACTCTGTTCCAGGAGATCTGATGCCCTCTTCTGACCTCCACAGGGACCAGGCACACACATGGTAAACAGACATATATGCAAAGCAAATCATTCATACAATAAAAATAAAGTAAAAGATAGAACAACAACAACAATAACTGTTCAAAGGCCAATGAAGGAAACCAATTTCCTGCTATTTTTATCATGGGAGGAAACCTGAAGCACAAGAGAAACTCAAGTTTGTTGGAGGAAGCCTGAAGGTGCTAACCTCCCTGAGGCCATGAAAAGCAGAAATCTGAAAGACTTGGTAGTCTGGAGTGTACCAGGCAAAGGTGATAGATGTGCAAAAGCTTGGAAGTATTAAACATATTATTGTAGGTGTTGCTGGAGTGTAGTTTGCTTTGGGAGGATAACTGGAGGAAGGGAGGTTTTGCCAGGCAGAGGGGCTTAATATTGTCCTGGAAATCGCCCTGTAAGAAGGCAGAGTAAGCCAGGTGGTGGTGGGGCACATCTTGAGTCCAAGGCCAGCCTGGTCAAAAGAGTTGAGTTCCAGGACAGTCAGGACAACACAGAGAAACCCTATCTCAAAAACCCAAACCAAACAAGGCAGAGTAGATGTCATTCTAATTTTTTCAGATGAGGAAGCAGTTTCAGATTCTTTGGAAGTTAGCAGCAGGACTTTTACTAGGATCCTTTACCTGTCTAACCTGCCAAAAAGATGATGCTTAGTAGCTATTTTAATTTTTCATTGTTGTTTTGTTTTTAAGATACGGTCTCTCTCTCTCTCTCTCTCTCTCTCTCTCTCTCTCTCTCTCTCTCTCTCTCTGTGTGTGTGTGTGTGTGTGTGT